GGGGCGAAAAAGGAAAGATAAAGGGGCAGACATTTCATCGTGATGGAGTGAGGTTGTTCGCAGTCGACAATCACAGTTGCGGTATGTGGGTTCTAAGAGGACGTCAAAAATAGTCAAGGACCAAGAAGGACGTTGGACTGTGAGACCGCAAGCCTCCTTTTATTTTAGACATGGCCCATCGATGACCCGGATCGAGATCTTCGGCAGGTGACATTGTTGATGTTCTGGCATCTTTGATACAGGCTAATTGCCAGGCGGTAGCCACACCCCCCAAAACCTCCAACTTCCTCAGCTTCAGCAGCTATTTAATTTAGATCAATACTTTCTAGCCGAAAAATCAACACGTGTCCTGTAGACGGGCTCGGTACTCGGAAAGACTCAATGCGAAATGACGCAGTGATGGTGTACGTGAAAGCCGCAACAGGCTAACAAGACGATTTGCAGGTGCCCGGACGTTTAAAATGCACTTCTCGAACATTCCTTACTCTAAATAATCTTGACACTTCATGGCAGTTGAATCCCGACATTTTATTCCTCTCAATTTTCATCTTTGTCCACACATGGAACGTTGCCGGGTCAACTGTGTTGTCTCCTTCCCCCTGGTTTAAGGTCTTTTGTGCAACACAGGCCTCCCTTTGACATCGTTTCTCAGGCGCCAGGGATGCTTACCTAGCTGCACGCCCATCATGGCTTGTACCGAGTTGATTGCATCCGTCCCTGTTACCTACACACTCCACTTGTTATTTGAAGATGAAACCTGCCCTGGATACCTGCGCAAAATGCTTGTCTTCCAGATCGTAAGCTCGAGTATATGCACTCGACAAAGAAAAGTTGCTTAGGTACCTAGGGGAGGTTGAATATTGATGGAGATAGTTAGGTACCTACCAATTTAGAAAGAAATAGTCTTTGAGAGGATGGACGAGCTACCTTATCGATCGTAGCCAAGAAGTGGAGGACTTAAAGCCCATGAAGCAAGGTCCTCTATTCTAGATTGGATACCTTAAATGGCTCGTGGCCCATGGTGCTTCGTGTTCTTGAAGCTTGAACAGCCACCATTACAAGGCAAAAAAAAACTTGACAGATCGCTCTCGTACAGCCATCAAGAGATCAAGTAGGAATCAAGAATTTCTTCAGATCTGCGTACCTAGGTACTTGAGGGCAGTGGACCTTACCTATCAGCTCACCGACCACGCGGAAGCCGTTCACTCCAGTGTGTAGCAAGCAGTACACTAGCTGCAAGAGTATCAATGCACTTGTGGGGAATTTGGGGGTGGCGGTTGGCTTTGCGTTGCCTTATGAAGGGCCCCATGCTTGAAATTGACTCCCAATTGCTGTCTGACACCACAGTCATGTGAGGTGGCCATACATTGGTGCATACTCCGTAGGTATGTACAAAGTAAGGTAAGGTACTGTCTGTTCGTCCTGCCCCCACTTCCCGCCCCCACGTCCCGTACGCCGTCCTCTCGTCCCCGGCTCCGGCCCCACCAAAAAGGACGGTGAACGGGCGCCAAGCTGACGGGTGACGGCCCGAGGGCATGGCGGGTCATGGGGGACTTGCGATGAATATCCGTCGGCTGATGGCGGAAGGCGAGGTAGTCGCGATCACCTGCTCAAAGCCAGCTGCACGTGTGTCTGAAGTGGCATTATGCCGAGGTCTCTGCCTTGCTTGGGCATATTCACCTGCCCAAGACGTCCATAAACTGCAACAGTGGCCGGGGGCTGACGGCCGCAACGAGTTCAACAGTCCTCTTCAATCTCTTTTTTACGACACAATGAGCAAACGTGGGCGGTCTCACCAAGGTGCGCCTTTGGGCTGTCCAATCGGGAGCGAGGCACGTGCAACGACGGCCGAATCAAAAGACAAACACCACCAAACTGTGGCCGTGAGGTTTCATGCGCTAGTGGCAAGTAAGACGCAGCGATGGGTGATTGGCTGCCGTTGAATCGGAGCATTGAGAACTGAATAAAGGGGCCGACGGAGCGATGGTACAAATAGAAGTGACCATCTGAAGGCACTAGCTGGTGTGGAAGACCGACCTTTGCGCAACCGGCGTCGTGATAGTCAAAATGCGCACCCAGATCCTTCTTGGTTTGTTGCCAGTCCTCGGCACAGAGGCCATCCGCATCATCCACGCCAACGACGATGGCTGGGCAGAGCTCTATACACGTTCCTTTAACGATGCTCTGATCGCCGCCGGCCACGACGTGGTTCTCAGCGCCCCCTCGGAAAACAAGTCTGGAACAGCATCATCGGACGCCGAGCCCAGTCCCCGCACCACGGCTTGCCAATACAACTCCTGTCCGCCCAACACCAACCAGCCTATCGGCCGCAATGAATCCTCGCCCCGTCTCAACTGGGTCAACTCTTTCCCCGTCACGTCGATGCGTTACGGCATCGACACCATTGCGCCCCCTTTCTGGAACGGCCAGGCCCCTGAACTTGCTGTTTCTGGTCCCAATGTCGGCAGTAATCTGTATGTCCAGGTGCATTTCTCCGGCACCGTCGGCGCTGCTGTCTTTGCTGCCAAGGACCGCAAAGTGCCCGCCATCGCCTTTTCCGGCCTCTCAGACGGCACTCTTGCCTGGAACACGACGCCCGTTCCCACCCGCAGCCTGGTGTACGCTCAGGTAGCCAGCAAACTCGTTGATGCCGTCGTCAACAGCGGCAAGCCCTACCTCCCCCAAGATGTTTTCCTCAACGTCAACTTGCCCAAGGTGGAGGGCAAGTGCACCGATCCCAACAACTTCAAGTTTGTGCTCAGCAGGATCAACGTTGGATTATTTAGCGCCAAGGATGTCTATCATTGCGGAACTGATCGGTTGCCTTTGGAGGCGAGTGTTGCTCTGTCCGGGGATGGCTGCTTCGTTTCAGTGAGCGTAGGCGATGCCAACGACAAGACAACTGCGCCAAGAGAGAAGCAGGCAGAGGTGTTGGGAAAGTTGGGCGCTCTTTTCACCTGTATGCCTTGATTCTCTTAGCGGCTGGGGAGGTTGCGGATTGGGTGGGGGGAAGGGGTGCTGCGTATAGAACTATCTACTTTTAACCAGATATGGAAGAATAGCGGTGCATTATACAACTCTATGAAAACCAAGGTACCCTACGGATCAGTGATAGGTGCACCTGTCCCATCCTTTTATCCTCCGTTGCCAGTCAGACTCCCGCTAGCAATTTCGGTTACTACACCCTGAATAGAGACAGCTTACTCTGTTTAGGTACGTAGCCAACTCAAAGGAATGTCTATGCGTGTCTCAGAATAGATTGTAGCTAGGTAGTTGAAGATAGATTTGTCTTGAAAGATAATCTACCTATAGAGGTTAAAAGATAGCAATAACCTCTCAATGCAGATCCACCATAAGGCCTATCATTTCTATTTGGCCGCCTCTTGATATGGAATCGTAAAAGATCAATATCTGGCCTAATAGCCTCTTTTCTTTGCCCACAACGTGGTTACAAAGGTGGTGTATTTGAACTACTAACTTGTACTGGGCAGGTAGGTAGATGAAGATGGCTGTTGGAACTTGGAAATTGCAGACTGAAAAGGAAGCTTCGGGCCCATTCCCACAGCTCTCTATCTTAAGCATACCTGGTACATAAGGTGTTCTACGGCACAAATGAATCGTTTGTAAATTTGAGACTGTGCTTCTGGCGAGGTAGATACCTTAGCAGACATTATCTCGAAGGTGTGTCATTTGGCAGCTCGGGCATTTCGTCCAGTGCGCTCGATACTATCCCACGTCAGCCCCGCAAGTTGAACCCGTCTTGCTTTCATTGGGTCGTGATATGCACAATCATGCAGTCTGTCAAGTGAAAAGTGCTATGATAGGGCGGTCCGGCATTGGCTAAACTAGCTGCAGGTGCCCATCTGCAGACTTGATCACCTTGTCGCTCATGTTCCTCACCCACTGCTGATTCTCCGAGTTCTTGGTCCCACGCTACCCACACCTTTTTGCTTGGTCTGCAGCCCTGCTTCTCTGGCTTCCACAGGCGCGTACATATGTAGCGAGAGAATGGAGCATATTGGTCAATCAGAGAGGTTGCAACGGCACCCGCGATGGAACTTTATCTCGGACGAGGGAATTAAAAAGTGTCCTACCTTCTGACTGTCGTTTCTCATCAGCTTCTCCCTCCTTCTTTTCTTTTTCCCTGCGGTCTAAACGCTTTCCCATACCTTCCATGTCCGCTAATAGCAATTGTCTCCAAAAAACCCTCAGCGGGGACTTGAATAGTCACCAAGACCAGCGCCCTCATCCCTCCTACCTACACTCCAGAACAGTGGATATCATATCACACATCACTCTCTCTCATCATCTGAACCCCCCGCAAGAATCTGCCCGCTTCAAAGCTCCATCATCGGTCTCTAGACTCAGAAGGCCAAACACCGTCCTGACCTCCAAAATTCACTCGGGCACACAAATGTTCATACCACCCTTGCCGTTCCCCTCACGTACCCCCTCCCCCGCACCACCGACAACTTTGCCATCATGGCTACACCTCCCAATACAACCCTCGGTTTCAAGTTCGCGGCCCGATGATGCATCATCGCCCCTCACATGGAGAACCAAGCTGGCAAAGCGCTACTCGATGCAGGAACAGAATGTGATCATAGGCGTTGTTGTTGGTGTTCTCGTCACGGCCTTTCTGGTTGGCTGCTTCTACTTTTGTCACCGGTATGGGAGCTCGATAAGGGTAAGGAGGCGCAGCCGGAGTCGAAGGAGACACGGGAGTCGGTATGGGAGCAAAGGGAGCCACATGTCCTTTTCGGCGTCTTCGGGGGAGAGTGCTCCTCCGCCTCCTCCACCTCCGCCACCGCCTCCGGGATAACAGTATGATCAAAGAAGGACGAGTGTATGATTGGTGTATGTCTATTCATTACAATGTTATATATGTGAAAATAAAGCGCCGTCTGTTCAATCGCATAAACCATGGCAAAAGGCAGCAGTGAAAGTAAGAGAATAAGAAAAAGAAGAAAGTCGGTTCAACTCCCAGTCTCTAACTTTGTTGCCCACAGCCAGAATCGAACTGACGACCTTGTCATAGCATAATACTAGTGACACGCTCTACCACTGAGCCATGCGGGCGTTGCTCTTGGATTGTTGAGGCTGAGGCCGGGATTTGGATGCCATGATGTTGATGGCTGTGGGCTATGGTGGAGCGAGTCTCGTAAGGGCTGTGGCCCGGAGTGGATTCGGGTCGCTGGCTGGGTGGGGAGTGTTTGTCGTATCGGCATGTGGAGAGCAGATGGGGGACTCCGGGATGGCAGAAGAAGCGATTATTTTGGTCGGCGACGATTTCCAGATCCAGAAAAAGCCAAATCCTCTTCGTTCTCCAGTGAGGGACGAATGTCGAGAGGTTCTCTCTTGTACCTCTTCTTCAAACGGTCCCGGCGTCCCTCATTGCCACTCCGTGGACGGTCCACGCCTCTCTTCTCCCGGACGATATTCTCCCTCTTGCCTTCGGTCTGAAAGTGCAACCGTGGATGCAGGTTCCGCATATTGTGAATGTTTGTTTGTATGTTGGCCAATGAGCCTTCCAACCGCTCAGCATCTTTCACAAGCGCCTCCTTCACCTCACACTTCCCGTGGTGGCTTTCTGATCCCGAGCTGGCCAACCTCCGTATCGACTCACTGGCGCCTTGCAACTCAACCGCCGTGGCATCCAGTGCCCTGGAAAGCTCGACGTCTGCGTCGGCTGGCCCCATATTGCCTCGAGCGTTGCGGCCCTTCGCCTGCGAGGTTTGTGCGGCCGAGGCGGCAGCCCGTTTTGCTTCCTTTCGTCGCTGCATCAGCTTTCTGGCTCCAAAAGCAACCAGACCGACAGCAACTTGGCTGATGACACCGTGGAAGTCACTGTCGTCTCGGGGAGATGAGTCGCCGGGCCCGTCGCTGCCCGGGGCCCTCTCTCTCCCTTTGTCCCGAGGAGCCCCTGACCTACCGGCGCTGGATGGCGCCCGTGCGACACTGCTCTTGCGGCTTCTACTGCGGGAACTCGAGTATTTGCGGTCTGTTTCCCTTTCCTTCTCTTGTTGGCGTTGCTTCTCTTCTTGTTGTTGGGCGAGCTTGGTGAGTATGAATGGCAGGGCAACCCGGCCTACTTGGGAGAGAATTTCCACTGGTTTAAGGCCATCTTTGGAACGCTTAGATGTTGATTTGCGGGTGCGGTTGGTGCGTTGGGATGACATCGTGTTGAGATAGTGACTGGGGCAAGATTCAAGACATGAACTGACGCTGGTGAGAGGGCCGACTTTCCCTTCAAGATATGTGAAACAAGAAGGGAGAGTCTTCTTGGTCATGTCGTCGCGTGTGGGTTGCGTGTGATTTTGGCGTTGTCAGTCAACCACCTCGCGTGACCTCGTGACCGCGCCAGCCATCAGGATGGTCATCAGTCAGGCAGCCACAGTTTTTAGATGGCAACTGATCTGTGTACCTAGTCAAGTTTCTTCTCACCCTCCCTATTTTTTTCCCGTCAATCATATTGGTCGCATCTGCACCCATGATATTCGGACTTACAAGATGGCCAGAGTCACATATCCTTTGATCTTGGCTTTGAGCTCGACCTCGATGTCAAGATCCATGTCGAGTCTGACGGCCGGTGCTCCCCTTGAGTTCTGTGGCTGGGCGGCAACTTGACCATCGTGGTGTTGTGTTGGATGTTGCATGAGTTGTTTAGAATTATTAGAATCACGAGAGTCCTCTGCGTTTTCCACGGAATGGTGGTGTTCGGGGCGGGGTTGTCGTTGGCTGCGCTGCATCGTGTCTGCTGTGGCGAGTGAAAGCGTGAGTGTGTGGGGTATAATATGGTCGGTCGTCAACAGAAGTGAACACAAGTTCCCGTGAGGTATCCAGTGTCATTATTATATGCTGTTTCCAGCAGAAGAGGTGCGTGACATCATACCTACCTAGAACACTTGCTCCCCGGAAGAGAAAGAGGGTTAGGGTCCACTCATAAGTGCGGGGCTGTTGGAAGCTGGGAGCTCCAGCCTCCAGCTGTCAGTCATTGTGCCCCGCGATTGCGAATTCCTCGCTTTTTGCAAACGACACGACAATCTTGACAACCTTGACCACTGTGACGGCCCATCCAGCTCATAAGTACCCCCCGAGAAATCTACCACGTCTCCCACAATGGCCGACCCAGTCAAGCACATTGCCTCGCACCAAGAGTTCGACGACCTCCTCGCCTCGAATCGCTATGTCATCGCCGATTTCCACGCTCAGTGGTGCGGTCCCTGCAAAGCCATCGCTCCCCACTACTCAAAGATGGCTTCGAGCTTCTCTATTCCCGGCTTCCTCGCCTTTGCCAAAGTCGACGTCGATCACGTACAGTCTGTCGCCCAGAAGTACGGTGTTGCTGCCATGCCCACCTTCCTGTTCTTCAAGGAGGGAAACCAGGTGGCTGTCAACGGCCAGGCATCCATCCAGGGCGCCAACCTGCCGAGTTTGAACCTGGCTGCTGAGAAGATGGGGAAACTCGCCAAGGAGAATGCGGCTGCTGCTGCTGCTGCTGCTGCCGAGTAAAAGACCTGGGGATGATGGTGGACGTTAAAGAGATACCCGTTGTAGTAGTCGACACACCCCAATACCTACCTACCCACCTCCATACATACATACATACATATCTACACCACCCCGACGTCCCAGAACAAGTTTCACAGTCTCACATGACCTGGTGTTCGATGCTGTCTCTGGACTCTGTCAGGATAATCCTCCGAAACACCGACGCCTCCGCTACCTACCCAACCTCCGACATCGGCCATCTCCAGAGCATCTTCTGCCTCAAGCCACAGACAGGTCGCTCTGTTGGTGTCGCCCGAAGCTGGAATCATGACATGGCGCCATTTGGCCGGATTGTGAGCCTGTGTACACCCGTCTTCATGGACAGCGCTTTGCTGCCAGGAACCGCGTTGGCCTCCCGAGGTGGCAGCCGTCACTTATCACCCATGCTTTGTGCCTTCTGTGTTGTGTAACGCGCCGGTTCAGGGGTATCTTGTGGACAACAAACTGCAATTGTTTGGGACTCGGTATGCCTCCCAAGGCTTCCAATTGGCCTTTTCTCTAAGGTATACTACAGCGCGTGGAAAAGAAACTCCTGCCTGCCCTGCCCGCCATCTATGAACCAGGAACCATATCCGTTCTATTGAGCACATAAAACAAATCTCACAGAACACAAAGGGGTATAACGCAGTCCGCCACACTAAATAATCCCGTATTCTCCCACCATTGGCTCACTGCTTCCCCTCCCAGAATAGATCCACCTTTTCTCCGTCCAGCCACTTCTCCATCTCCCCGTACATTCGGTCCCAAAGCTCCCCTGAAGCTGTCGGCAGGTCCAAGTCAATTTCATAACCCAACCTCGCCTGCGCCGCCCCCAAGTACTTATACCCCGTGGGAATCCGCTCCAGCTCTGCCTTGCTGAACCGTGGCGCCGTGAACCCGTCTACAGGTACGACCTTGTCCTTTTCGTAAAACAGCTTGACGTACCGAGCCTTCCACTCGTTGTTGGTGGACTCGTTCTTTTCGGCAAAAAAGATGAAACGGCAGTCGCAGTCAACATCGAACTCATACTCATCCTCACCCGGCACATGACCGTGTGCATGATGGCTACCGTTGGTGCCGTTGGCCGTGGCGGGAGCACCGTTGGAGGAGGACGAGGGCGAGAACCTGAACCGATGGGTAATGGTGGCCTTCATCTTGCCAATCGCACGGCTTCTGTCTTTCCCGAGCTCAACGAGCGTACCGCACTCGCGGTGCATGATGAAAACGCCCTTTTCTTTGCCGGCTTTGGAGATGGAGATGAACTCATCCACGGTTCGAGGACCCGACCAGGCTACCATAGTTGTTAGCATACCGGCCATGAGATTGACGACGACGAGTTTGATAAGGGGGAAACAAACTGGTCCAAACGTAGGCGCCCTCAGCTGTGAAGAGATCGCGATAGTTTTGCCATTCCGAGGCATCCCGGTAGACGGGCCAGCCTTTGCAAAGCTCCGAAACGGCCAGGCGGTCAAGAAGATCTGGGGTCTGGCCGTTGATATGGGAGTAGAGCTTGGTGTGTGGATCCTGGGGAGACGTCATGGTGACTGCCTTATCGGGTGCTTTGGTGGTTGGACTTTGGTGATCAAGGACCTGAGAGTAGCGTAGGGTGAACTCAAGGGTGGAAAGTCTTGTAGAACGACAGTGGGTTGGTGGCCAGGAACCGCCACTGACGGGGGCTGAGAAGGTCCTTTTTATATCAGTACAATGCTGCTAGACCTGATTTCTCTGAGAGCATCTGAGATATCAACGTAATCACGACAAGGGCTCGGCATGGGCTCGGTATCTGGCTTGACGCAACCCCCTGGCCCCCGTTTACCACTGGCCGCAGGGGATATCTGTGTGGGCAGCACGTGCCAGCCCGCTTCAAACTGTCGATGGCTGACAATGCCAATGGGCCCCGTAATCTGCGGTGAAGCCCAGGTAGAGAAAAGGTGCGTTGGCAATGCGCAAGATGGTGCGAGTCTGGGGTGATGAGATGGAATAGGAATTTGGGTGCGGTACCTACAGTGCCTCAAGTTAGGGGGCTCAGGGGGGTAGATCAACACGTCACCGCCGATGTACGGATAATCACTTTTTTCCCCCTCGACCGGCAAGACCAAGGGCGGCAGGCCACAGAAGCAAACAACACGGCACTGTTTCACGAGACAGGTCAAATCCCGCCGAACCGCCCGAGCGGGTTCGAGTCCATGGCCATGGTCGGTTCCTGAAAACAGGTAACCCGCAAGGTTCTCGGGCAGGCCGATCGATCGAGAGACAGACGTGGTCTGTGTGAAATATGCAGTTGCTTGCTGACCGGTTCGTCTGATAGATTCCTCTGTCAAATCTCATGTATGACCAGTCAGGCCCAGAAATCCGGGTGGTATTATGAGGCAAGGACCTTCACCGTTTCTTTGATTATTCGGACAACTTGCAAGTGCGGTGAAAACCCCGGGGGCTTTCAATTGGTGGGCTGCCAAACTCAGGTTAGCGCAACGGCCCCAATGACGGCCTTGACAGCTAACAGCACATTGTCATGTTTCTCAATGATGCACGATGCAGCGCAATGCTGC